TGGGTGGGCTCCTGTAAAGCTCCTGAGGGAAGCTGGTTACCAGAAATACCAAGCCATGATTAGATGCTTGGGATTTTCAGCCCCACCACCCCTCAAACCCACTTCTCTAGAAAACAAGAGGAGCTAGAAATGTTGTTACTAACTGATCATGACTACATGAGGAAGCTTCCATAAAATTCCAATAGTATGGGGTTTGCAGAGCATCCAGGTGAGTGAACACATCCACACAGGAAGGGTGGTTCACCACAACTCAATGGGGACAGAAGCTCTTGCACTCAGGACCCTCTCAGACCTCACCCTATGTATCTCTTCATCTGGCTGTTCATCTGTATGTTTATCTCAACCTTTAATTAACTGATAATCTGTTTCCTTGAGTTTTGTGAGCCTCTCTAGGAAATTATTCAAACCTGAGAAAGAGGTCATGGAAACCTCTAATTTGCGGCCAAAGTGGACAGAAGGTGTGGGTTACCTGGGGACCTACTACTTGTAATTGGCATCTGAAGCAGGAGGGAAGGGAGGGCAGTCTTGTGGGAATGAGCCCTTATTAACCTGTGGCATCTGATACTGCCTTCGAGTATCGTCAAAATTAAGCTGAACTGTTAAGACACCCGGCTGGTATTACAGAGAATTGCTTTGGTGTCAGTAAAAACCCCACATATCTGGTGACCAGAGGTGAAGTGTTCTGTTTTGAGTAGTTAAGGAGACAAATAGGAAAGAAACACATAGTAGGAAAGAACTGTAGGATTTTCCTTTACAAAGATGTATCTCCTCCCTCCAAGTTAACAGTCAATGTCATGGAACTCAGTTACTGAATATCAGGAGACATCGACCTGGTATTTTGTCAGTGATTAGCAAAACATAGGCTGTTTTTTCTTCCAAACAGGATAGTCAACACTGCAGATCCTAAGTGTTTTCTGTAAATGACCAACTAATCTGGACAAACAAGAGATGGCAGGTATAAGCTTCAAATGGGTCTTTATAAGAATTACTGACATGTTTGTGAACTGCCTGGCAAAGCTGCTGGAAGGGAAAATGCACTTTGAATAAATAATAGCTGTCATTACCATCACACATAGCTGGTTGATTAACAAATCATTAGAAAACATACAAACAAAAAAACATCATTCCTTTAAGTTATCCCTCATAACTAGTATAAAAAATGAAGGTGATCTGTAGCAGAATACTACCATAAACCACACTGTGAAAGAATTCCGAAGTTGGTAGGAGTCTGCATTAGGAAAAAATGGTTTCTTTCCTTCAGAAGGCAAAGAATTTGTTTAAAAAAAAAAATCCTCTAGAAGTGACATTTGATACACTTTACATAAAATCGATTGTCAGTTTTATTGCTGCTGCTCACAAGGGGAACTCTTATCCTCCAATCAATGAAGTTAGACTATATAGCTGCTTTCTAACTTTCTCAGAGAACAGATTTTCTTAGGTATATTTGAAAAGAGCTTCTATAGAAAGGTGAGTCTCAGAAATTCCCCATGAGGTAATAATATCTGTGGCACACAAGAACAGACAACCTAAAAAAGGTATTCGATGTAGGTCTTTTCTAAGACATAGTTATAGGGAAAAAAAAAATGGTAATAGAAAAAAATGTAAATTTCTCTTAAAAGACTAAAAAGCTAATATAAAAATCAACATTTGCGATTTTCTGAATATTTGTCAGGGGCTAACCAGTTAGCTTCACAAATAAGTGGGAATCCAACTAAATTAAACTTCAAATACATCTGAAATTTACCCATGTTATCCAAGAAAAATTAAAACACCTCAAACTCCTGAAGCTTCCACTGAAGACTGTCTGTAAAGCAGTGCAGCATCACAGCTAGACAGATCATATCCTGGGCCAATGCCTACCCTCCCCGCTTCCTAGCTGCTTACCTCCAGCTCAGTAATCTAACTTCTCAGCTTCCCTGTCTTTAAATGCAATTAACAGCTTTCTTTCCCATCAAGGTTCCAAAGGATTAACTGAGATCCTACAAGGACTCAGCTGGCTTCAGCCCTTTCCGGGTACTTCTCTTGCACTCACCGTCAAGCACTCTCCTACTCCCTCTCTCATAAGGATTCAGGGTTCTGTAGACCAGGATCATCTTTCCCTAGCCCTCACTCAGACTCTTTCCTTTTACCCTTTGTAAGGGTAAACCTACATTCTTCATAACCATCTTACTAATACATCCACATATCCAAATCCCGGAATTCCTTTCAAGATTTAGCTAACCTGGGGATCCCTGGGCAGCTCAGCATGTGAGCTCCTGCCTTCCGCCCAGGGCATGATCCTGGAGACCTGGGATCAAGTCCCACATTGGGCTCCCTGCATGGAGCCTGCTTCTCCCTCTGCCTGTGCCTCTCTCTCTCTCTCTTTTTCTCTCTCTCTCTTTCTCATGAATAAATAAATAAAATATTTAGAAAAAAAAAGATTTAGCTAACCTAAATTCTCTCAAGCAACATGAATACCACCTCCTCCAAAAGGCCCCCTAATTCCTACAGATCAATGCTTCTCTACCAGACTGCAACCAATCACCTGGGGAATTTTTTTAAAAATCCCTGAAACTTAGGCATCAGTCACATTGACTGTCCATCTGAGGGGTGGCCCAGGCCCCAACCATGAAAGTGACCTCTCACGCTGAGACCCCCCCAGAGCACTTCCCCAGTACTTCCCCTGAAGCACTCTACTTTTTTTTTTAAATTTTATGTATTTATTCATAAGAAACATGGGGGTGGGGGAGACACAGAGACACAGAGGGAGAAGCAGGCTCCCCGCAGGGAGTCCAATGCTGGACTGATCCCAGGACCCCGGGGTCATGCCCTGGACGCTCAACCGCTGAGCCACCCAGGGGTCCCCAGCTTTCTCTATGTGTAACTTGGACGAATGGTGTCCTTTTCCCAGGTGCCGCCTTTTACGTCATTAGCACTCACTTAGCACGGAAAGAAAAGAAAAAAAAAAGGCTCTAGATCTTACTCCGTAAAAACGTGCAATTCCTTTCTTGAACCTTTAAGCAATGCCCAGGACAAACTCAAACTATTAAAATCTCTTCGAATAATCCTGAGGGAAGACTCGCCTAATGACGTGATCAACCTGCAAGTGCAACAGAAGTTTGGGTATCCTATTTAAAAAAAAAAAAAAAAAAAAAAAAAAAAAAAAAAAACCTTATTTTGATGTTCATAGAAATGAGAGGCCTTAAAAAAAAATCAAATAGGAGGTTTAAAAAGATTTTAATAAAAGTATGTTTGGGGGAAGCCTGGGTGGCTCAGCAGTTGAGCACTTCCCTTCGGCCCAGGGCATGACCCCGGGTGTCCTGGGATGGAGTACGACATGGGGCTCCCTGCAGGGAACCTGCTTTTCCCTCTCTGTGTGTGTCTCTTGTGAATAAATAAATAAAATCTTTATAAAAAAAAAATGTGTTTGGGGCACCTGGGTGGCTCAGTGGTTGAGCATCTGCCTTCGGCCCAGGTTGTGACCCCAGGGTCCCGGGATCGAGTCCCACAGCGGGCTCCCTGCATGGAGCCTGCTTCTCCCTCTGCCTGTGTGTGTGTGTGTGTGTCATGAATAAGTAAATAAAATCTTTAAAATAAAAGTTTAGAAAATTATGTTTGGGGCACCTGGGTGGCTCAGCAGTTGACTGTCTGCCTTCGGCCCAGGTCGTGACCCCAAGGTCCCAAGATCAAGCCCCACAGTCGGGCTCCCTGCATGGAGCCTGCTTCTCCCTCTGCCTATGTCTCTGCCTCTCTCTGTGTGTGTGTATCTCTCATGAATAAATAAATAAAATCTTAAAAAAAAAAAAAAAGTATGTTTGGGGGACACCCGGGTGGCTCAGCAGTTGAGCGCCTCCCTTGGGCCCAGGTCATGACCCCGGGGTCCCGGGATCCAGTACCGCATCGGGCTCCCTGCATGGAGCCTGCTTCTCCCTCTCGAGTATGTCTCTCATGAATAAAATAAATAAAATCCTTAAAATAATAATGATAAAAAAGTGTATGTTCTCTTCCATGCCTTTTTTTTTTCTTTTCAAACGCCATTGCATCCTAAGGAGTAACGTTACCAAGTGCATCTGGGTGCACGCAGGGACACCAGGTTGCAAGTACGCTGACGGGCGCTTCCTGCCCTTAAAGTCCCGGAAAATACCAAGTTCTTGGTGAAATGCAAAAGCCACGTTAACAATCATCAGGTCGGCGGGGCAGCCCGGGTGGCTCAGCGGTTAGCGCCGCCTGCAGCCCAGGGCGTGACCCCGGGGGCCCGGGATCGAGTCCCGCGTCGGGCTCCCAGCGTGGAGCCTGCGTCTCTGTGTCTCTCATGAATAAATAAATAAATCTTTAAAAAAAGAGTCATCAGGTCGGCTAAATGCACGGAAGCGGCCCCGGCGCCCCAGGTCTCCGCGGGCGCAGCAGCCCGGCTCCGGCCCCGAAGAACCCAGGACCCTGCAAAGCTCGAGAGCTCAGAGCACAGGCGGGGAAGGGGAGCCCCGCGCCCCGCCCCCGACCGCGGCCAGGCCAGCACTCGCCCACCGCCCGCAGGAGACCCAGGCACCCCGCGCTGCGCGCTGCTCACCCCCCCGGGAGGCTCCAAGCCGCCGCCGCACTCGCAGCCTCAGCGAGACCCCCGCAGCTCGCTGGGCGCCGCCATCTTGGCAAGAGAGGGGTCCTTGCTCTCAAGGCCCCAAGCCGGTCGCCCCTAGCGGAGCCGGACAGCAGGGAGTCCCTCGCCCCCACCGCCTCGGCAGCTCCCGCGTCGCAACCCCGCGCCCCGGAAGCGCCTTTGCACTGGGGACCCACAGACACAGCGCGGGAAAGTAAAGGCGCCCCGGAAACCCGGCTCGGCCCCTCAGGCAGCGCGGAGGGCAGCCCCAGCGCGAGGGGGCGGGCCCTCCGCTGCCGGGGGCGGGGCGTCGAGCGGCGGCGCGCTCGGTAACCATGGCAACGCGGCGGCGGGCGGCTCTCGGGCGGCGGGCTCTGGGCGCTCGAGGCGTCCTCGGGCTCGGCCCCTTCCCCGCGGCTTCCCCTCTGCCCGCCTCGGCCCGCGGGGGGGGGGGGGGGGCGGCCGCGCCCGGGGCCCGCCTCCCGGCCGGCGCCTCCCCCTCGGGCTGCCCCGAGCCCGCCTGCGCCCGCCTGCGCCCGCCTGCGCCCGCCTGCCGAGCTCCCGGCCCGCTGGCCGCCCCGGCCCGGCCCCGCCGCGCGGTTCAGCGCGTCCGCGGCTTTGCCGAGCGGGTTGGGTGACGTCGGGGCCTCCCGAAGACGACCCGCTTCGCGGGTTTGTTTGTTTTTTTCCCCCTTTCCAAAATGGCAGCCTCCAGCCGCGCACAAGTGTTAGATCTGTACCGGGCGATGCTGAGAGAGAGCAAGCATTTCGGCGCCTACAACTACAGGTGACGCGGCGGGCGGCGGGCGGCGGGGCCGGGGGCCGGGGGCGGCTTGGGTCGGTCCCGCGGCGGCGGCTTCGGGCCCGGGTGCTGAGCCTCCGCCGCCCACCTGCCTCCCAGGCCGGCCAGCGCGGTCCCGGCGCCTCGGGGGGAGCGAGGGGCGGAGAGGACACGTGGAGGGGGGCAGGGGGGCCTCGGACACCTGGGGGCGGGAGGCGGGGGGGCCTCGGACACCTGGGGGGGAGCAGGGGGGGGCCTCGGACACCTGGGGGGGAGCAGGGGAGCCTCGGACACCTGGGGGGAGCACGGGGGGCCTCGGACACCTGGGGGGGAGCAGGGGGGGCCTCGGACACCTGGGGGGGAGCAGGGGAGCCTCGGACACCTGGAGGGGGAGCAGGGAGGCCTCGGACAACTGTGGGGGGAGCAGGGGGCCTCGAACACCTGGAGGGGAGCAGGGGGCCTCGGACACCTGGGGGGAAGCAGGGAGCCTCGAACACCTGGAGGGGAGCAGGGGTGCCTCGGATACCTGGAGGGGCAGGGGGGCCTCGGACACCTGGGGGCAGGGCGCGGGGGGGCCTCGGACACCTGGGGGGGAGCAGGAGGGCCTCTCACACCTGGAGGCGGGGGGAACCTCTGATCCCTGGGGGGGGGGGAGCAGGGGAGCCTCGGATACCTGGGGACGGGGGGCGTGGGGGCCTCGGACACCTGGGGGCGGGGGAGCAGGAGGTCCTCTGACACCTGGGGGGGAGCAGGGGGTCCTCTGGTACCTTGGGTGGGTGGGCAGGGGCCTCTCTGACACCTGGGGGGAGAGCAGGGGCCCTCTGATACTTGAGTGGGAGCAGGGGGTCCTCTGATACCTGGGGTGGGAGCAGAGTGTCCTCTGAAAACCTCGGTGGGAGGGGAAGCGGGGCGCCCTCTGAAACCTGGAGCAGAAGAGAGCGGGGGGAGGGGGCTCGCCCTTCGTCGTATCAGGGAAGAGGTTCCAATCCTGTGATGGTTCCCTGGGTGGTTCTCTGGGGGCGCGCTGACCGCTGACCGCTGTGCTTCCGCAAGCCTCAGGCTCAGGGCCGGTTTGTGGCGCGTGTAGAACTTCCCCGGGGGATGGAAGAGTTGGTCGTGGAAGCGAGCAGCCTGTGGGAAAGCCAAGCCTCGCTGCAGCGAGGTGCCTTGACTCGCTTTCCTGGTGGCAAGAATCACATCCTTGCTCCTCGGGGCACTGGCTTTGAGGAGGCGGTGGGGTGAGAACAGGAGATTCAGGTAGTGGTAAAGGAAAGAAACAGACTTCTAGGCTCTGAAACACTTGCCTTGGCCTCATCAGAGGGGGATACAGCTTAAAGGATCTTCGTGGCAGGAGAGTGACAGGCTGAACTCACATCCCCCAGTGCAGGGCACAACTTTCCCCACGCCCGCCCCCTTCTCACACTTGCTCTCGACTCCCTCATTCACGTCCATACTTTTGTCTGCCTCACAGCCCTTGCTTTCTTACAACTTCTGACTCATTTTTACTGAATGTTTCTTACGGGTTTTCCCTCTGCATCCTTAGGTTTGGTGTTTTCCTACTACCTCTCCAACTCAGACTTTGAGCCATAGTTAGGCCAGGTCTCACTGTGGGTGAGATCGAGTGTCCCAAGAGAGAGTCTGGTTCGACAGGTGCCACCCTCCCAAGGGTGTATGAGCCGGCAGGCCCCCTGGTAGGTTAGACCCGGCCCAGTGTTGGTTATGGGACAGAAAGCTAGACCTCTCGAGCAGTGACTAATTTTTAGAAACCTGCTTAGAAAAGTCTTCTGTCCTGTAAATTTGAGAGCAACATCGAGTCCTACCAGTAAGACCAGCCAAGTGGCTGAAAGATACGTTTCCTGGGAGAGCCTGGTTCTACTTAGTGACTTTGTCTTTGGAAGGTAAAGTTTGCGAACATGAGTGGTACACGTGGAATTTTTAACAAAAACTGAATCAAGTACTTAGCACCAAGGACTTCACCAAGTCTGTTGAAGAAACCTGCAAAATATGCACATGAATAAGTGCTGACCAGGTGTTTACAGTCTGGAAGAAGATATTTTGTCATTTAAATTTGCTGAGAATAAATAAGAACTAGGAATCAGTACACAGGCCCCACACTGAAGGGGCGGATGGGGTCGATGTGAAAGCACACTGTAGAGAAGTCAAGAGGGGGCCTCAGAGAATATATAACCTTCAACAAGTCACTCAACCTTAGTATTTCAATTTTCTTGTTTACAAAATTAGCTTGTCGGACTAGGTAACCTCTGAGGACTGCTGCGTTACTAAAAATCCATTTGGAAATGATTTATGAGCCAGGTGGGGAAATCCACATTTGAGGCAAAATTTTATCAAGTGAATAAATGCCAAGTCAACAGGGGTAAACCTCAGGAAAATCATTCAAAGCTGTACCTGGTGGGCAGAAAATTAGAAATGGGTTTCTGTATGAGCCACTGTAAAGTAATACACATTTAGTAAATAATTGTTCAAATTATACTTTGAATAATGCTTTTAAACTAAACTTATTTAGTTTAAAATATGCATGTAAATGTCCTAATTATAGGAATCTGGTAATCATTTTACATTTTCTTGAAATCATGGACCTAAAACCTGAGATTCCCACCGGTATGAGCTCTCAGATAATAAACTTAATAGTTAAGAAATAATGCCCTTTTCTGGGGGCGTATGGATGGCTCAGTCGGTTAAGCGTCTGTTGGCTTCAGGTCATGAGCCTAGGGTCCTTGGATTGAGGCCTACATCAGGCTCTCTGCTCTGGGGAGCCTGCTTCTCCCTCTGCCTCTGCTGCCTACACGTGCTTGCTTTTTCTCTCTCAAAGAAAGTCTTTTAAAAAAAAAAAAGTCCTTCTGTATTAGGCTGTGTCTTGAGAATTTCAAAGACAGTGCTTTCCCCTTGTGAAGTTCTCTCTGGTGGGCATGCCCTTTAAACACTCTTGTCTTTAGTTCATCCTCTTGAGAGTCAGCTCTGTCATGACCCTCTCAGGACAAAGTGTTATTTTACTTCAGTGCTTCCAGAAACGTCCAAAGACTACTTTGCTCCATACCATACCAAAACCTGGAGGTAGAAAGGTGAGAGCTTTGGGCTCAGCAAGGCACTCTACCGTCAGTGGCTTTTTTTAACATACCTCCATAGGATACTGTTATGGAAATCATTTTCACAAACTGTGTTAAGTGCTGTAATGGGCATGCATGGGGTAGAATCAAGAACGCTTCCCAGAAGATGACATTGGGTCAAAAGCATGAAACAACATAGTGTGCTCAAATAACAGTAAACAATAGACAGTTTAATTGCTAGAGAGTGAAGTGTGATTCAGGGGGTGACAGAGAATGAGACTAAGGTTGGAGAGGCCACATATTCAGGGGCCTGCGCACCATGCTAAGGAACTTGGACTTTATTCTGAGCTAACAGGCAGCCAATAAAGCGTTTTAAGCCAGAAAATGACATGGCCAGATTTGCATTTTAGGTAGGTCACTGGTAGCTGTGTAGAAAATAAATTTGGGGACTAAATATAAGGACACCAAATGGGAGTTGATTACAGCAGTGCTGAGGAGAGATTAGGTTCCTAATGAAGGTAAGAATAGTGGCTGATAGAGAAAAAAGACATATTTGATTAATAATTATAGGGTAAACTTGTTAGAAACCTGTGAATGATTGCATTGAGGAATAAGGAAGAAGAGATTCCAAGGAAAGTCTAGAATCACTTCCAGGTTACTATTTAGCTGAGGCACAGAAAGATTAAATGGGACATTGTGCCATTAACGGACTTAAGAAATACAGAAATAGCTGGTCTTGTGACAAGAAGACTTACAAATACATCTTCAGACATCTTGAGTAAATGTCAGTGATGCCCAGCAAAGGCAGTTATTCACAAGAGTCCACAGCTCAGGGGAGCAAACAGGGCAAGAGTTAACGTCCTTACTTACTTGCCTTGTGACCCTGGGCAAGTCTTTTCACCTCTGTGCTGCAGTTTCTTAATCTATTAAACAAAGATTCTGTAAAGCAGAGATAATGCTTTCTCTCTCAAGTGGAAATTTAAATGAGTTAATACATGTCAGGTGCTTACAGTTGTGCCTGGGGCGCCTCTGTGGCTCAGTCATTTAAGCATCCAACTCCTAATTTCAGTTCAGGTCGTGGTCTCAGGGTTGTGAGATGGAGCCCTGTGTGATGGGGCACCGTGCTAGACGTGGAGCCTACTTGAGATTCTCTCTCTCTCCCTCCCCTCCATTCCAACGTGTGCACACTCTCTCTTAAAAAAGAGTTTTGATATTAGGTGAAATTTCCAGGAAGAGTATTTAAATTAAACAGTTCTTCTAAACCAGGGGCAATTTTATCTGACAATACCTGGAAACATTTTTGTTGTTATAACTTGAGTGAGAGGATGCTAGAGGCATCTAGTAGTTAGAAACAGGGATGTCTCGTTAGAGACCAGGGATGTCTCTGGTCTAAACACAAAGTCCCCATAATAAAGAATTATCTGACCCAAAATGTCAAACATGCCAAGATTGAGAAATCTTAGTGTATGGTGAGAAAATTAGTGGGCTAAGGATGCTGTTCTAGAGAACATCAAAATGTAAGGGGTTGGCCAAAGAATTGCTGCTACAGAAGGCCAAGAAGACATAGTCTAAGAATGTGGTCCCAAACGTAATGGTCTCAGGATCCTGTTAAATTCTTAAATGTAACCGAGGACCGAAAAGCTTTGTGTATGTGTGGCATAGTTATCAATATCATGGTGAAAATCAAAACTAAAACACCTATTTGTGAATGAATTAATAAGCCCATTACATACTAACATAAATGACATTTTTAGGAAAAGTAACCATCTTTTTTCCAAAAAAGAAAAAAAAATTAGTGACAAGAGTGACATTCTTCAACATTTTTGCCAATCTCTTCAATGAATGTCTTAATAGAAGAAGAGAAGATTTTTATATTTGCTGCTGCCTACAGCCTGTTGCTATACCACATGTCATTTAGCCTCTGGGAAATTCCACTGGACA